AGACCAAGACTTGCTGCAGCAGCTCGCCTTTCTGAGAGGTATTGCTCTTGCCTCGCTCATTTTTTCAAAACCCTATGGATCTGCATGAAGCGATTCCATGAGGCCTGCCACAGCGACGGGCCTCAGCTGACTGATCCTTGAAATCTACTCTAGCCGAATGTATTTTCGTCGCCGTTGGGAGCTCTTAGGTACGACGTTGCCACCAGCCTGCCTGATTCTTGATTTGTCATTGAGCTTCGATCTTGCCTTATGCGACTTGGGGGATTTCACCTGAGCTTCTCACCTGAAAGCAAGAACCTGCAGTGTTTTGCTGACAGAACTTCCACGTCTCCCATCTTTTGCTCGGGCCCAAAGTTTGCGTTGTTTGCTTCCCAGTGGGGAATTCATACATGTATAGAAAGGCAGAACATGTAATTGAGCCTGTCCACCGAGGAGTATTGCAGCGTTCATTTGCACTCGTGCTGCTGCCTGCTGCCGCTGCCACCTCGCCTCCTCCTCCTCCTCCTCTTCCTGCTCCTAGAGCTGCTGCTGCTTCCGTTGCTGAGAGCTGATGACAGCCATGAATTGGGCCACGAAAATCGCCATTCAAACACAAACGTACTGATGTGGACAATGCGAATGGAATGCCTATAGAGAGTAACACATGCTGCAACAAATATCGACATGACAGCCAATAGAAGTGATCGACATCAGGACCGACATGTAATGCAAGAACACGGGTTCAGGCATGCTTGCCGTCTGTGACTCATCATTGCGCGTTCCCGACGTGGAAGATTCTATCTGTGCATTGGCCAAAATGTACACCCCTGGCCTCCTCGTACTCTTCGCCCCTAGCAATCCGATCATCGAAAGACTCCGCGCAAATCACCTCGTCGTCCTGCGGCGATCGTGTGCGACACCAACCTGGGTGATCTTTGAAGTGAAGAAAGAACACATGCACAACCAATTCCATTGGCCTCGCTGCCTTCTATGTCTTCGTCCTGTGAGCTATAGCTGCTGGACACAGGGATGACATGCCACACTATGGCATGCCCGCACCTGGAGTTGATGTCGACTAGGTCCACCGGCAAGGCGCCCATGGGACGAAGCGCTCTGAAAGATTGACATCGTTCGTTGACGCGGCTACAAATGTCACGGTTAAGTACTGTCGATTCTGCGCGTCCGTTCCCCAGGAACTTAGAGTCACATGTCAATGTTCAAACAACACCACCTTGACTGTTTGCATCGTGGCACCAAGCGTGGGCACTTGGCAACAAAACAAGCTCATGAAGCTTCTCTCAGCCGGCAAGTGCCATCATGAGGCTGTGGTGATCTGAGTGGCTGCTTGGGCATCGCGGCAGAGAGTGTGATGCTTGATTCTATAGGTCGCTGGCCGGACCAAATCCACTTACACTGTGTGCTTGAGGTTCTGGCGGAAAGCGATGAGATCCCTTGTCATTCCGATGAATGATGTGGTGGCCACCCTGCTCACAAGCATGCCGGGCTACGACCTGCAATCTCAAGCTATGGCCACTTAATCAACTCAGATGCTGCGGCCGGAAACCTTCGTCCACAACCTTCATTATCTCCTGAATGTGAAACGCTGCTCCTCGAATTACTGCTATAAGACACTCTCCACCAAACATACCCCAAACCTTCCTGCTCAACCTCCGCTCTCCCCTAGATCTCCCTCCTGTCCTCTCTTTTCGACGGGTGGCGAAGGCACCACAAGTCGAGGTGATCCTCACTGCGGCTTCGTAAGAGCCACAGGATTGCAGAATGGAGCCCCAAGTCCCTGGGTGATCAGCGCAACACAAGGCGCTGGATTCTCGTCATTCGGAAGGATTGGAACTATTGCTATTTGAGAACAGACAACAGGATGGAAGAAGAGTCAGCAGTGGCCGGTAGTTGACGAGCCAAGGTTGGAGCACTGCACCTGACTCAGACACGGGTCCCGCAGCAACGTCATGACAACCGAGCTGCGACTGATCTGATGAAATGGCTCTCAAAAGCGACGTTGGTCAGGGCAATCGCCGTCCCGTCGCTCCGCCGACCAGGGGCGACTCCACGGATAGCTTGGGACTGTGGCCCAAGAGGATCTGAAGCTTTGGACCTCAAAGTGGGCAGCGGATAAAATGCTAGCAGGTCATTCGGCCGCGGTCAGCTCCGCATCTCCCATCATGCACTGCATCTCGAGACGTATCAACATATGGCCCCTCATCACTGCGAAGAAGGCTTGTCCAAGCAGTACAGCCTAAGGCTTGACCGAAGCGGCTCCGCGACAACACGGTTTACCTCTGCCGACTGCAGCCCGAAGGGACCACGCTGGCGCAAGGCGCCAGGATGAACCTGATCTGATGCGAACCGTCCTAGCATCAGCCTCCCGGTCCTGGCCGTCTGATGTAAGCTGCGGGGTAAGCAAGGAGACTTCCTCAAAGTACTTGACCCTAATTGCTTAGCGACTATGCTGCCTGTTGCCAGCTGGCAGCATGTGACCAAGAGCCATCAGGCCGCAAATTCATACGAGCGGTACAAGTGCAATCAAACAAGACCTTGGCATCGCGATCCTAAGTGAGCAGCACTTCCGGGTCGTGCCCACATGTCATGAATTCCATGACAGAAATACCGACTCTGACTTGCGAATGCATTTCTCGCATGCTGCAGACAACCAAAGCAATGCTCCTTGAATGCACTGCGAGGAGTTGACTCAGCTCGCTTGGCGACAACACGGTGTATCTTCGCTGCGTGGAACAAGCTAGCGTGCAGCCAAGAAGAAGAGGACTCTTCACGAAAATTCAATTTTATGTAGACCCATACAAGTGGTATCAGGATGGCCCGAGATGATCTTGGAAGGACCATCCCGACTGTGCCGACGTCGAGGGCTGCCCGGTCACTCGCAAGCTGCTAGCGCAAACAGCTTGGGGGGACTCTTTTCTTCTTGAGTGCTGGTGACGGGAAGTTCCCAAGTCCCTCGGCAGTGGACGCTCCACGCTGACTTATTGTATCCAGGTAGTATAGCCGATGATGGCATCGGAAGCGTGGAAGGAGCAGGCAACACCTGCAACGGCAAGACGGTCCAGCCTCCCAGTGAGAGGCATTGCAGTTGTCGCCACAGTCCGCAACAGAAAGGGGCGAGTCCATCATCAAGAGCTGTGGCACGCCTGAACCAACTGTGAGCGCAAGGCAGTGACCAAAGCTTGGCCCTGCTGGAATCAGACAGCTGCCAAGTGCCATTCGGGGTTTTCTTCGCAAATCTGTCCAAGGTGGACCGTGCCGGACAGAAATGTGTCCCGAAACCAGCTAAACCTGCTGGGTGGCAGCTGGCAAGAAAGGGTTTTCGAGGCAGCATGAAGGCTGGACCCACGAGTTTCGCATTTCGCGTTGCGACATTTAAAGCATGTGTTTACTCTTTCAAAGTAGTGACGGGTCTATGACGTGCATGCGCAGCTGGCGCACGCTTACAGAAGATACTTGTACAAAACATCAAAATTCATTTCCCTAGCATGACATTCAGCAGCAGCAGTGCTTTCCTGTGCCACTGACAGGAGGTAAACGGACGGTGGAGAGCAGTTGGTCAGACGCTGCGACTCTGCTGGTTGCATTTTCGAAGACCAAACTGCCCTAGAAGCGCGTGTGTCAGAGGCAGAAGCATCGGGGGCGACTCACAGCTTCCATTCATGCCGCCGTCATGCAAAAAACTACTAGTGTTGGGAAGTGTTCGTTCTCACCAGACATCTGCAGAATGCGTCAAGGGGTCCTTTCTTAAGAGTCTACTTCGGATGCACCTTCAAACGGCAGCTACAAGCATTATGAGAATGTCGCGGTAAGCTACACAGCTGACGGGTTCAAGATTCAAGGGATATCGAGTGCAAACTGGAGCCTGACTCTCGCTGCAAGCCCTTTTTGAGGCCGTGGTTTTAATGAAAGCTCGGCAATGCACTTGGGCAGATCCGAGGGCCACTCGAAGCTTCTAAGCATGCAAGGACTAGGCGCTTCAACAGGGCTACTCGCTGTCTGGTCGTCGAGTCGGCCGGTTGCAGCCTGTCCTCCGACAGCCGTGTGATGGAACTGCAAGGGGTCGCTGCATCATCGAGCCAACAGCATGGCATGGCTTAGCCGGAAGCCGGGGCAGTCGGAGTGCTGTTGACACTTGTGAATTCTCGACTCAAGTCGGAGAGATGCCAAAGGTATTCTCAACAGGAGAAAGAGAATTACTGACAGCTGGCCTCACATGACAATGCACGGGAAGCACCTATTGTGTGCGGCCGTCAGATATGCCGGAACGGGCTACGGCTATGCTCGGATCAGCGACATGCCGAAAGACCCGCTGTCGGCAGCGTGTCAATAAGGAGCTCATGCCGATACGTGGCTACCACTGCAGAAGGTCGGAGAGTTGCCAAAGGTATTCTCAACAGAAGAAAGAGAATTACTGCCAGCTGGCCTCACATGACAATGCACGGGAAGCACCTATTGTGCCGTTATGATGAGGCGTGCGGCCGTCAGATATGCCAGAACGGGCTACGGCAATGCTCGGATCAGCGACATGCCGAAACAAAATGGCCCTGCTGTCGACAGTATGTCAGCAAGTGGGTTCGTGGAGCCAGCTGAGGGCCTCACCCAGAGCTGACAAATTACAGCAGAAAGAACTGACGAAGCCCCGAGAACCGAAACAGCTGAGTCTGTGCAGACGGCATGCAGGTTCCGCATGTCGGCGTGCCGAGTATAGCCAAGAAAACTGGAATCAATGCTTGCTGGGTGCCGAGTCGTCTGACCTGCTCAGACGAATCTGGTAACAATTTGGCGATGCAAACTCCTGAGGTGACCTTTTGCTCGTCAACCGGCACTGAGAGGGCGGGTTTAGTCGGTTCGGTTCTGTTTCAGGCAGATCCCTGGCTGCAAGAATCCAATAACCATGGCAAAAGCTAGGGTTTGCAGAGGCCGCGCAGCATGCCATTCCTGCGCGTCGGAGCCGAGTCTCGCTGACGAGAGCTGTGTCTGCCGCCTGCGCCCTTAAGCAGGGCATGACGAGATTTGGGCAGCCTCCCCATGGCCCGGCCGGAAGCCCTCGAAGGTGGCACAGACTTGGTCGATGGTCACCGTTTCACGGCGCTAATGTATGCATCCACAAAGGCCACGCCGGTGTCATGGAGTTACTTTTGCCGGCTGGTGCTTATGCAAGCGCATCGAGCAGAGGAAAAGCCGAAGTGGTGCAGTTGCTGCTTGCTGCCCCCCTGCAAATGGCATCAGCTGACGGCAATGCTGACATTGTGCGCTCATTGCTGGAGGCTCGTGCTGGCACGGACTTGGTCGATGGTTGCGGTGACACAGCGTTGATGCGCGCATCCATGGGGGGCCATGCCAGCGTCGTGAACTTGCTCCTACAGGCTGGTGCAGACGCAAGCCTTGTGAACTGTCTCGGCTACACATCTGTCATGCTCGTGTCCAGCGGAGACCACTCTGAGGTGGTAGAGTTGCTCCTTGCGGACAACACCAACCCCAATACTCCGAGCCAGGGCCAAGTTGCTGTGGAGGGCCTGCCCGAGGCCTCCGAGACAAACTTGTTGGACGATTCTGGCAGCACAGTCGTTGATCACTCAGATTTCTACCGGAGGGCTGTCAAATTCCTTCGGGACCATTGCTGTGGCACTCGCGGTAGTGAAGGCAAGGAGCTGGACAGCCTGTTGCCGGCCATCATCGTTGTTGGGTTGCGGGTGCACGACAGGTGGTCCTTACGCTTAATGGGCCCTTCTGTCGAAGCCAAGACAGCACGGAATGACCTGGCAGTTGGAACATTGCCCAGGCTTCCAGCGACATGCCGTCACACGGACTAACCTGGATTTGCAGGCAGAGCGGGCCGTCAATCTTTGGTAGATGCACACTTGCAAGGCGCAATGCTGGGCCCGGATCGCCAGCACACAGGGGTTCGATTCAGCCATCTGGGGGGTCTTTGCCGTTGACCATATCTGACTGTCACTCCTGTTTCAAGACTTTCTGCTACCGGCAGATGCCGGCACCACCGCAAAAGCACCATGCCGGGAAAGCCACTCGGAGTTCCAAACCCCGTTAACCTGCTGCCGTTGTCCACATTGATTGTGCGCGAGGCTGGGTCGGGCTTGCAAGCGATTGACTAACGACATGTGGATCCATGACGTTCGGAACAGCATGTGACAACAACCCACTGTCACCTAGGGACCTGGGGGAATGCACAGCTTCAACCTTGAAAAAAGAGTCATGCGACTATGGCTTTTGATGGAGTAAACTTCGGGCAAAGCTGAGTCTACGGAGGAAGATGCTAGAAGGGGTGACGTGAGTGACCACAGCCTTGCCAGATCCGGCTACGTTGCCGGCATCTGCTTGCAAGTTGCTATCTTCAGACTACTGCAGCTTGTTTATCACACGCCAACGTGTGCACCGAAGTTTGGTATATGCACGACTGCAGGCTGCAGCATGCATTCCCTTCGAAACGAAGGGATTGAACGACATGAATTTTCAGCCTCTCGTCACCGACCAAAGTTGTCTATTCATGCGCACCTCCCTCAGATCAAAGAGTGGCTGCAAATGCGCCATCAAGCCGTCCGGACAATTTCTTTGGCCCGTTTGTTGCACCTGCGACAGCCGAGAGTCATCTGGTAGCTGGCACATCACCTGGGCTTCGAGCATTGTCGCCATGGACAGACTCTGGCACCACGTTGGAATCCAGTCTCAGCAGGCGTGACCCTCATTTGCCGTTCAAACTTGACATTGACCCTGCTTATCATCGTCATTGCGTTTGCTGTTGCGACCTCAGGCTGGCAAACCAAACTTGCAATCTAAGGAACCAGAGATGGCCAGGGAACTGCTGCATCTCGCCATGTCAAGCCGAGTGCTTTGCCGAGTCCGGTAAGCGCTCGAAGCCCTCACCGGAGCCTTACCGGCTTGGTTTGCTTCTGTGCATCACGGTGCTGTGCGACCCCGTGCATCCGCAATGCTATGCCAGCTCTAGGCCACGCAGCTTCAATCATCGGTTGTTACGGCCGAATGCATCCAACTCTCGCAGTGGTTCTGCTACTGCCAAGCGATAGGGATCCTTTATCACACGCTGGATTCGACATTCTCCGTGCGTTTGCCAGCTGAGTGTCTTAATGGCCGTCTGCAAAGGCCGTGCCTTCTTCGAGCACTCTGAAAGGCAAAGGCTGGACGACACGCTTGCTGTATGCTCCGCTGCTTGGAGTCGGAAGGCTAAGCCGACAAAGAAGCGAAAACAGAAGAGCACTGGGCTGGACATGTCCTCTGGTGCGTTAAGCTGGCGGCCATGTCTCAGATCGATTGTGACAGATGGGTGGGAGAATCATGGAACGTCCGGTCTGCAGGCCAATCTGCTCAGCTGCTCAATGCGAGCTGCAACTCCCAAACTGTCCAGTGACGCTAGGTAGAGCTGCAGAACTCCGGGCAGCGGCCTGATGAGCGCACTGCAACTACTTACCGTAATTGGGCTCGGCAGGCCCAGGCCCCACTGGAACAACGAAACACGAGTCGGCCCAGTGAGGCCGTGGCCGGAACCAACAGCAGGTGGACTGTTACAAAACACTGATCAAGAGCATCTTGCAGGGCGATACCTTCGGGCTGTAGAGATCGCTGCAGAGTTCACGACGGTGCAAAGCACTGTCTCACGGCAAAAGCAGGAACTCTGGGTCTCGGCCCAGGCTTCAGCCCTGATGCGCTTGGCATGCAAATGCTGTGACGGCCAAAGCGTTTCAGGCCGACGTCCCAAGGGCCCAAGCCTCCTCCATGACCGGAAATGCCAAGGATAATCATCCTGCGTCCATTGCACATCGGGGCGTCACAGCTGTCGACTGGCCACCGTCCGTGCACTCTGCCTTTCGGACGTTCGCCTTGCAGCTGCTCGGTGGAGTGAACAACTCTGCAGAAGCAAGCAGGCTGGCTATGCTAACGAAACGCCAGGTACCTGCAAAATCCCGCGAATGGGGACCCTCGTCAGCGCTAATCGTGCGATGACTGCATCCAAGTGAGTGTGAGGCCGAAGTGCAAGGCTGAGCATGTTGTCGGAATCGATGGTTCGAGCTTCCATGATGTGGAAGTGGCCTGCCCGCAACTTAGCAGAGAGGCAGCAATTGCAAGATGTCACCCCCCTCTGCGCGGCCGCAAGTAACTCAACTGCCAACAGGTGGAGCATGAGCTAGATGTTGCCAAAAGGGACACAGCCAGCGAGGACCTGTGCCAGTCCACAGCCGCTGAAGGACGGTGCGGACGACGTGCTGCACCTGTTACGCTACGACTGCTTCCGGGCTGAGCACCTGCTCCCGCAGCACTGGTCGGGAAGCAAAAGCCTGCAGCAGTTGCCCTACCTTCCCGTCGCCCTCGAGCAGTGAAAGGCGTGCGCTCGGCACTGGAGCTTTCACGAACCTCAGCACACAGCAACAAGGTTTAGGCGAAGCAGCAGGCTCGGGCCGCAGCGACCACGACGCTTCAGTCACCGTGAAGCCACGCAGGGCACAGCATGGTGCAAGTTGTGAAGAAGGAACCGCCGGAGCAGCGATTTCGCGTGGACGCGAGCCCGGCCTTAGAAGCAGCATGCACCTGGGAGTGGACATCCCGTGCAGGAAGCTACTGAACGTCCTGGGCTGAGGAGAAGGCAACAAACTGTTTAGAGCTCATGCCCCTACATGTCTCCACGCCCACGACATGTACAGCCAGAGCACTTGCGGGCTGCACAGCCCAGTCGGCAAACTCCTCGCTCCAGACGCAATGCGAGAACGGCAAATCCACATGTCCGTGGTGGGAATTCCAACACAGCACCAGGAGAATCTTTGAAGCATGGTCGCTTGACGCAGCTAGAGGTGATGGTCGAGACAAGGCTCGTATCCAGAAGTGCTTGGCCCTGCTGGGCGCCCTTGGGCAAGACACGCCTGAAGTGCAAGTGGTTCAATTGCATACTGTAGCCTGCGGCATAGGCACTGGAGGATTGTGGGGCTGGACCACGCCCAGGATACAGCCCAAAGGTTCTCTGTGAAATGGCTGCACCTGCGGAGGCTTCCTCCAGCCACCAACGGCACTACACACCAAGCTCTGATTTCCGTACATCATGCTTGGCTTCTTGCATGAAACTATGCACCCAGCCGGATCAATGAAGGAAGTGGTAGGCGAACACTGTTGGTGGATCCAGCTTACAGTGTCCATGCTGAAACTGTACATGCTGAGAGCTCGCATGTCTGGAATGAGACACTGCCGGCTCTGGCTGGTGCGCGTCCGGTCACAGGTCCAGCCCGCACGTGGCTGCGCACTGCAGAGTGAGCTGAACAAAAATCAGTTTCTGGTGGACTTGTAGGAAAAACATCGACACGAGCTTGGCCAGCTGAGCTTGGCCTGGCCACGGCAGAGAGGGGAAGGAAAAACTAAGAGGGGTATCGACGGACTGCGAGCGGTCAAGTGCCAGAGCATACCCGTCGGGCTTGCTGGCAGGTGCTGCGGACGGCTTCAACATCTTCAACCAATCTGGCTTAAGGCTGCTTTTAGGCAGAAGGATGGATTCCCCGAAAACGTTGCCAGGACCCTTCTTGATGTGGATGCGTGGCCCAGGCACAGCACGGGTGTCGACACGTCACGTGGGACAGTGTTCGGCCGCCGTTGCAGCCGTCTTATGACTCCATCATTGACCTACAAAAGGCTTCTCTTCGTTCAATAGGGCCGAATCCAGGCGATTTAGGTAAGGTCGGTGCTCAGTGCTCTGCTGCCGCCGGTTGTGCCAAGGTTCGGGTGGCGTACAAATGACGCGTCAGCGGGCGCGCTGCAGGCTAGAAGACCCACCGGGTTCGTACAGGCGCGGCGAACAGCAGATCGGGTACATCTGCTTAGGACTGCCAGGCTGCATCATGGAGTTGCTTTTGGTCCATTCTCCATCTCAGCTGCAGGCATTGAGCAGGAAAGGGCAGAGAAAAGTTGTCGAAGATCGCAGTGCCACAGCGCCGTGTCACTTGCACAGCGCTGTACACATCGCCTGCCTGGGCTGGTGCAGGACGAACACGGCATGGAAGCTTTCTGTCGGCAGCCCGTGAGACTTGCACGCGGAGTGCAGTGCTGGCATCGGGTAGCCGATGCTGTAGATACTGTGGGCAACCCAGCAAGACTTTGCCTGCCCTGACCTTCTAGGCAAGGCAAGGGAAAGTCAGCGCGAAGCCAGTAACTTGCCGGGCTGATTCCGCTATCGCAATCAAAATCTAGACTATATATCACTAGGCGTGCCAATGGGCAGGCACAGCAGATCGTGGAAACCCACAGACTGACAAACGACCGCATGATGCTTCCCACGAATCCCACGAACCCAAGCTTCCACATACCTGGAGAACAGGGCTACCCGAACTTTGAAGCAGCAGCTGCGTGTGTTCTCGTCCAATCTGTGTCTCGCAAGTTCAAGAAGGGGTTAACGCCAGTAGAAGGAGCTTAGAAGGAGCGTGTCTGAAGGTATGCTTCGGTAGTCTTTGCCAGGCACACGGAGCGATCGGCTACCAAGCTGCAGTCTTACAACAACTTCATCTGTTGCAAGGGCTTAACTTAGAAAGCTTTTCATACCAGCCCAGTTCTAAAAAACCATGCAGCATTGCATAGCGTTGCCTTACATGCGTGTGAAAGCCTGGAGTGGCTTATGGTGCAAGGGGGAGTGGCATGGGGTGTCCAGAGCTCTGCAGAGGCCTCAAGGCGACAGCGCAAGCGCACTTCCCGCGGTCAGATCTGGCTTTCGCAATCGCATGGGTCGAAGTTGCAGGCCGAGGCCGAGGGTGCTTTCATCGACCACCTCTGATCCAAGCTAGTAGCAGCTAGCGTGCCTTCTTGCCGCTGGCCGTTCTGCCGCAGAGAAGGGTGATCGGAATCACCGGGTGACACAGCTCCGAGAATCGGTGCCGGCTGCAGCTTGCAAACTTCGGAGTGAAGCACAGCTCAACTCCTTTTGGTGGAGTTTGGTGGTGTTTCTGCAGAGTGTGCAATACGGCAACACTCAAGGTGTTGTCTCGTGCAGAAATTTGGACGACTGCAGCCAGCAGCTGTGCCAAGATGCTCGGCGTCAGGTGATCCATGGCTAGGGCCGCATGTCCCTTGAACTCGTGGGTTGCGACGGCCATAGCCATCGCCAGGCAGCAGTGTTTCTGGAAGGGACCGTTGATCGCCCTCTCGTCTTGCTTGGGAGGTGTCTGAGTCTGGATTGAAACGGATGCCTCAGGGAAAGCAGCGAACCGTAACACGTTGATGCTTAAACTTAGACGTGAGCTCTCGAGGCTCATGCCCTTACCCTTCAGCTCCCTGTGAGCTCCTCGAAAGCTACTTGGTTGCTGCGTCGTCGTGCATGGCAAATCGTACTCTCTCGGCCTTGTCAAGACCACACGACTGGAAGCGGAGTCCCTCACTGCAAGCAGGGCTTTCAGCCATGCGGCAAGCAGAAAGGCCCCCTCTGAGAGGGCAGCGGGTAGTGCCGTAGCTGTCAAAACAGCAGCCCGAACGACATCAGGACCTACGGCTTACGCACACCTCCTCTGTGCATGTCTGACTTGGCAGAGAGCGAATCCGCACAGATGAGTTGTGCAAAAGAGGTGTGTGCCTAGAACAACACTCCCTAATGTTTTCATGGTGCCATGTGCAAAGGAAGAAACAGCGCAGCAAGGATTTGGCGGAGCCGCACGAACGGCCCATGGTGAGAAGCGAAGGCACACGAGCCACTGGCCTAGGGAGGCTTGGTAAATTGAGAGTGCCAGTGGAGCCACCAAGCCAGCAGCACTCACCCGGCAATCGCACTTATTCACACTTCACGGTTTTAAGGGGATGGGTTGCCTCCGGTGTACCAGACCACACGTGCAGGGTTCTGTGCGGAGCTGATGACAGCGCCTTTGACCGAGGAAGAGTCCATCTCAAGCGCGATCAAGTGGTGCCAAGTGGTCCCTCACTCTTCTCAATCTCATCGCCTTCGCATCCTGATGACAACACATCGGAGCACTCACCATATCTTAATGCTCTTCATGCTCCCCTCCCGTCTCTTCAAACCCAGTGGTGTTTGGAGAGAGCACAGGGTGCTAGCGGGAGCGGAGGCTCAGCTTCTCCTTCCGGGATCATTCATGGTCCCGCCTTCTTCTGGCAACGGTCGGGGCGACTGCGAATTGGTCTCCATTGTGGGGTGACTGCGCGCAGAGCCAGCAAATGAGGGCACTTTCGGCAGCTCTTCTGACGAAGTGGAAGGCACTTATCGCGGCGAAGACGGCGGCAAGCATGTTTTGGCATGAATGATACTGTGCTGGCTTTTTCGCGGCTTCGCATGGTTGGCAGCTTCAGGTGCAGCAGGTCCAGCTTGGGCACCGAGCTCGCGACATCATCGTTACGATTGGCCCCTGAATCGGCGAGTGCGCTGACGGGAAGTGCTCAGGCCGCTCAGGGACTTGCACCGAAGCCCTGCCGGGCCCTGCCGAGCAGGCCCACGTCTGCCGCAAAATAGAGATTTCTTGGAACGGTGTGGAGTTGGTGCACCCTGCCAAACTCTGTGAGAGAAGCATTTCACGAGCTGCCGAGCTGCGAATGCTGCCTGCCTACCTCATGCAATGTGACATGTGATGCCACGGGTGCCGGGCGCGGGTGAGATTGCAGGCCCATCCTGGCGAAGCCGAAGCGTCAGAGAACTTGGACCTGGTGGCTGGCGGAGGCGCCCGAGGGCGAGACATGCACTGAGCACGTGCACCTGGGCCACTGCCCAATGCGCCTCGCACATCCTGGCAAGTGCCACGAGCATCTCGCCTAGAGGAAGCCTCTGCGGCGTGATGGGAAAGGCCTTTATGAGCAGCTCCGCCGGCAAGGGTCAGGGCCAGGGTCTCGCGCTATGAGGCATGAAAAGGGGGAGGGCCCATGCAGGGCATGCACAAGGCCGGGAAGATGATGTTGCACCGGGGACTGGGCCTGGGACGGGCTATGGCGGCTAGGCGGCTATGGCGCTGCAGCGGCTGCCATGCCCGAGTCCTGCACATCCTGGTGGCTTAGAGCCGGGAAGCCTCCCTCGAAGAGCTGCTGGGCTGCAATCTGAGCCCATCCTTCAGGGGACCTGTATCAAGGGAGTAAATCGGAAACTTCTGCAGTGACATTCGCCGTCTCAATAACTGGGTCCATGAATGTTCGTGGCCCTGGTCCCTACGTGCAGAAAAGGTTCAAAAGAAGCTGCAGCCTGCACTTTTGCAGCACCGGTCTTGCCATGGGTCACCGTAAGGAGGTGGCTGCAAACTTTCCTCAAGCCTGCCGCTGAAACTTTATTGAAAGACATGCCCCTTGAACATCTGTTGTGTTTGCCTTTGAGGCTCCGTGCCATCTGGCACAATCATAGCGGCGCAAGGACGGGGTCGGCTTGTCCGGGTCAGTGGGGAAGGNNGGAAGGCAGTGCATCAGTGCGGCGTCGCAGCAAAGCAAATCTCCTGCATGAGCCGGCCCGAAGATCAGTAGGTCCACCAGACCGTGCCGACCATCAGACTGACGTGGCACAGCCGAAGCACCCAGCTGTCGAATGGAAGGCTGTTCTCGGGTTTGGATCTCAGCCTGAGCTTGTTGAATCGAAGACTGGTAGAAGTAGGTCTGTGCCGGGTTCGCAGAGCAG